CTGCCTTTTATGCAGTTTTTCCATCCCTCCCCCAGAGCACTGGGATTGGAAGGAACCTCGGGAAAGGGTGATAGTCACTGGCCAGGTACACAATCAATGAGAGCACTCCTTCCCCCTTCCTCTCCTTACTTTAGTTTCTGTTTCCCTGCAGGCAAGCCCAGCTTGAGCTTCGAAACTCAAAACATTTCGACTTGCCTCAGAATGAAACGAGGCTGTGTCAAAGCACTCCGTTTCATTTTGATTTTGCTATTTGGAGCTCAAAATGAGTCAAAACAGCGTCAAAACGAAACTGCCGGTGAAATTTTGCACAGCCCTACAAATTACATATTTGAATTTGCGGACTTTAGCCTTTTTTAAAAAAAAGAATATATGTTGTTATCCCCTTAGCTGTCAAAGCATTTTTCCAAAACTTGAAGACTTAAGTCTGAAATAAGATGACAATGGGTTCATCAAATAAAGTTTTAGGTGTCAAATAATTTTTTCATTAACTGCAAGTTAACTACCATAAAGGACCTAACAAATAATTAAGGCTAGTGGTTTGCCAGAGTCACAAATTCCAAAATTTGTACTTTTATCAAAAGTCAACAACTTCTCAGTATTGCTTCAGAGCTCCTTTCATTTCCACCTAAAAAAACTATTTTCAAAATAAACTATGTAGCCTAAAGGCCAGAAAGCTATTTTCCAAAACCAAACCAGATGTCATCAACATTTCCTCAGTCCCACCTAAAAACTGTGTTTTTGCAGTGTTCGTTTTTGACATAGGAAAATGTGTTTGCAAAGGACAAGAAAGCAAATGGGCTACACAGTTTAGAAAACAAACAACACAGTTTATTAAACGGAAACCTAACATGATTTTATAAACAGTATCCCTGCCCCAGTGTTTCTTCTTTAAACAAAAGACCACATGTTTCTAAAAGTTGAACTAAAACACTAAACATGCATGAAATAAACATGCTGTGATTTGAGGAGGGGATGACTAAAATTGTAACTTTTGTACTTCGTCCTATCAGTCACATTTTTTTCTGCAGAACCATATCTAGCTACAATCATTAATTAAGGATTATAGGTCTAGCACTGCCCACATAAAAGTAATATAACCTTGAATAACTTTTATAATCAATGTAATTTGTTTAATGCATTAAAATAAGAATAGCAATGTAACAACAGCAATGTAATTAAACAAATTACATTTTGTTTAATGCATTAAAATAAGAATAGCAAGAAACCACCACTGAAATTAGGATTGAAGATTACACAGAGAAGTCTCACACTGATTTCCCATCAAAACTCCAACCTTACCAAGTTTACCACTCTACTTATAAGCCCAGGGTATTACAGAAAAAAAGTGACCAGCCACGAAACACAGTTTTTGAGGCTGACCATTATTAGTACTAAAAATCTAGTTTCCTGAACGTGAACCAATGAAGAGTACTTGAGTCTGAGTGTGGACAGCTCCACTACCGCTATCATTATTCACAGCTCTCTCAAGCAGCAGTGAAAATGTTGTCAGTTTTATCATTTTGACAGCCACACAGAGGAAGCAAGTACTAAAACCAAAACTAGTGGGGACTGGAGACATGCACAGTGTAGATACAGGGGTAGGGTACACCAAGATGCATACCACGGCAGACCTTTTCGTTATATCAGCAGCCCACACCTGTAGCAGAACTACTCTGACCTCAAAACAATTTGGAGGCTCAAGAATGACAGGGAGCAAAGAAAATGTTTCTTCTCTTTTCCAAATACTGGGACAAGATGCATTCAAATGCATCAGAATGACTATCCAAGGGCCAAGGTAACAGGTGGACTCCTTCACTATTCAGGCCCAGCATCATAACAGGGCTCCCAGCAGTTGACAGCTATAGTGATTCCTTCAACCCCCCCTGTATTTCATCTACTTCTTAGAAGATGTTGGATAAATTTGTGAAGCTCTGTCTTAAATTATACATATTATAAAAGGAAAGTGTAAGTATTATTTTTATAGTTGTTAATTTAGGCCTTCTAATGTTATTTCTAAGGCCAAGAATTCCCTTCTCAGATCCTTCTTATGCCAGGTAATGTTCCACTTGCTCACAGTGGGCACCAGTTTCTGATGTTGTAGAGACTGGAGAACAGGGAGCCCTGATTTGTTTCACTGCATTTTAACTAGCGAGTAATTTAGTCCTTACTAATTTTCCCCTGCTAACCTCTCCTCTCTGGCAAGTAGTCCAGAGGGTTATACCACAGGGCAACAGCAGCCAGAAGTCTAGCAGTCTCAACCTTCTCTCACTAAGAATTACCATCTTCAGACTGCAGTGTGCCCTGAGTGTTCTTCATGATTCATGGTGCCTCCCAGGAACTGCAGATCAGTAATTCTATCTTCTTAACTGATGTTACAATTAATTTTACTTTGGTACTGTGATATCCTCCTGCATGTGTCATCAGCATAGAGATCATCATCTTGCAGCTAGTTTTACCAACGCCTTCCTAGATGACTAGCCAAGAGGATATATGGTAAATGCATAATTTTTCCCAGGTGGTTAAGCTGTGACTACTAAAGCAGGTATCTGAATAAATCTGCTTTGATCTACATTTGTATAATTATAATGCATATTATTTTAATGGGAATAAGAACTTCCCACTCAGGGCCTTGCCTTATGATTTTATTACAAGTTCTGCATGCTTTTACATAAAAAATGAAAACACGGTAGGTCAATCTTTACGGTTTTGAAAGGAGTTAAAAACAAAACAACTTAAGATTTGAACAGCTTCATATTCAAGGACATTTTTATTTAACAAGTTAGCCACGTGCTAGTAAATTGGGCAAGATAAACTCCAACTTCCAGATATACTGCAAACACTTGAATATACCAAAACTTAAATAAAAAAACCCAATACATACTATACCTCAATGCTGTTGTTGCTGTTCTCGTCATCCATGTCTAGGCAAGGGAAGGAGGTAGAAAAAAAAATCAAAAGGAAAATAATAGTTAATAAATGACACCAGTTACTCCTGAAGTTGTAATTCAATACCATAATACCATTTGAGAACTAATCCTCCAAGTTTATTTATTTGACATTACAAGACAAGTTAATAGAAGTGCTGCATTAGTCTTCACCTTCCTTTTTCTTCTTGACAGAATATAAAAAACATCCAGCTATTCAAGGAAGAAATAGTGCAAACAGGATAATGCATAATGACAGCTCATGAAGCTCTTTGAAAGGTAACCAAGCTGCATACTCTACTGCTTTACTCAAAGACCTAATGGGCAGCCTGAAAGGAAACACAACAAGGCTGTTTTGCTGCATTAATTAAACCTTCTGAAAGTTTATTTCAAACATAGTCCAGGGCCCAGAAAGCCTTCCATACCCAGTTTCCACTAATTCTAATGACCAGCGAGTGGGCAATTAGCAAGATGTAAAAAAAAAAAAGTCTGCAAACATTTGTCTTCACTAAGGGGAAAAAAAAAACAAATTTTGAACAGTGTTAAACTAAGCCATGTTAACTAGCCCAGGGGCTGGCAACGTTTTTGGGCAGAGTGCTAAAAACACATACAACCTCCATTTGTAAGATGTTGGTGTGCCAGGGGCAGATGGTGGGGGAGCCACAAGGGGCCCAATCCTTGTTTTGGCAGCACAGCCCTAGCTTCTTCTCCGCTGTCCTCCCTGAGGCACATGTGCCAAGCAAAATGACTCTGTGTGCTACACTGGCACCATACTAATGGGGTTGCTTTACCCCTGAATTAGCTCATGATAAAATAAGTCAAGGATAAAGCAGTTGTATTAAAGCATAAAACAGCTTGGTTAAAAACAAAATTCATTTGTCTGTTTAGAATGTTAACACACCCTTACTTGATTGAAGAAAAATACAGTTCTTCCTTGTTAAGTCAAGGCCTCAAACACAGAACAGGCTGTAAAATTAGCCTTCACTTCTTCTGGGATCTAGTGTATTAGTAACATGTTAATTGTAAAATGAAACCTCAGCCTCCTAACCTTATGATTACTCCACTCCAGCATGAGACTAGACTACAATTTCTTTCCCTCAAGGAAGATTTATTCCAAAGCCTAGATTACATGTGTGCCCTCACTCTGTCCCCACCTAAGAACTACACTGACTTCCCTTATAGTCAGAGAGGAGTAACTAGCCAATCGCATCCAGGAGTCAGCAGACAACCACCACAAATTCCAGCAAAGCAATCACTGATCATTTTCAGTTTTGAGGCAAAAAACATGAGCTTTTTTCCTTACGCTGTCATAAATTTAACCAATTCTTCACCTCCGTTTTCTTGTGCAGGGACCGGGACTTCCCTGCTGTGATAGAAACCGGACTCGAGGGGATCGCCTTCAGACCTCAGGTTGGGGAGGACCGGGTTAGAGAGCTTCTTGAGGGGCTGGACGCATTCAAGTCAGCGGGTCCGGATGATCTCCACCCCAGGGTGTTGAGGGAGCTAGCTGGGGTTATTGC